TTGAGTGACTCACAGCAAAAACTCTTCCAGCCTTCCACCATGTTCCCCACACTGAGAGGATGGGACCTCCCTCCTTAGAACCCATGCAAGCTGGGATACTTTGGAGTCTTTTGGACCCAGAAGCAGAGCCCTGTACAACCTAGGGAATTTACTTGCAACCACATTACTTTATTACTACATTTTGCCTACTTTTTCAATGGAATTTCTGTAAATTTCATGCAATATATTTTGATCCTATTTATATCTCCTCCCCTATCTGCATCCCCCTTACTACACTCCACCCAATTTCATGTACTCTATTCTATATAAATAAAACAATTGTGCCTTGATATATTAATATAATATATAGAGAGAGTCAAATTTTTGTCCCCAAATGTCCTTTGGTGTGGATTCATCCACTGGAGCGTGGTGAACCTACCAAGAGTCTCACCCTGAGAGACGGACACTCCCCCTCCCAGCAGTCATTGGTTACCAGTAGTTCCTCAGGTAGGCCTGGGGTTTCTTGTAATTCACTTTGGAAATAAGTGTGGAGAGTCCTCAAAAAACTAGAAATCAGTCTTCCATATGATCCAGCCATAATGCTCTTGATCATATAAGCCAAAGATTCTACATCCCATATAGAGATACCTATTTATTGCTGCCCCTTTCACTTAGCCAGGAAGTGGAAACAACCTAGATGTCCATCAACTGATGAATGGACAATGAGAGTATGATACATTTATACAATGGAATATTATTCAACTGTTAAAAAAAATTATGGAATTCACAGGTAAATGTGAGACTGGAAACCATCATCCTGAATGAGGTAACCAGACCCAGAAAGACAAATGTCTCATGTTTTCTCTCACACTTGGATGCAATCTTTGAATTTTTAGATATGCATGCTTCAGTTGGAAAATCCAGAGAGGTCAGGAAACCTATTACTATTTTTAGCTAGTTGGTTTATTGGAATTGAGCACTTATGGGCAACATTACCTTTGTGGGACTGCCTGCTTGAACTAGAGCTGAGAAATACTGACATCCCTGGGTCCTCTGCAGCAAGATTTATTTAAAACAGAATTGAGTTACAGATGTGTGATTCTTTTATACAAGCTAAACATGTATTCTGTGAATTTCCTCCCACAAGCTGTCTAATTTAGGAATTTGAAGTTTCAGTGCTTTGTCAGTAAACCAAGACACAGTGATGAAAGTGAAGTCATTGAAAAGTAAACAACTTAGGGAAAGGTCAGGGGTGCTGCTGCCCTTGTTAGAACTTGTTTAAGGATATCTGGGATATAAATTTTGGAAAATAGAAATGAGGACATGTTCAAAATTAGGAAAAAGCAGAAAGAAACTGATGAAAAGCTTAAGCCCATCCTAAGCTACGTAGAAAGCTCTGGGGAAATGACATGAAAGGTTCAGAAACTTTTGTGGAGTGTATCTTAGAATAACTTTAACATGTATTTTTTATTTGGTGTGGTGTGGTGTGTGTGTGTGTGTGTGTGTGTGTGTGTGTGTGACCTATGCGTACCACATCACCAGTGTGGAAGTCAGAGGAGGAACTGATTCTTTCCCTATGTCATGTGGGTCTTTGGAATCACTCAGGTTGTCAGGCTGGGTGGCAAGCACCATTACCCTATCAACCATCTTGGTGGTTCAGGTTTAATATCTGACTGATTGATATTTTGTGCAGTACATTTTAAAATGGGGTCATAGGAAATGAATGTGCCACATTTTAACTTTGCATTTGCACATAAATGCCACTGTGTGGTACCTTTACAGTATGTATACCCCTTTCCCCCTTCCTCCTTTAAACTTGATTTCTGCTCATTGTGTTTTATTCCAAAGCCGGAAGATTCACAATGATTCATTTGCTGTGTGTTTTTAAAACCAAAGTATATTTAATTATTCTATCTTTTCAAAAAAGGATAACGGTATAATGTTTTAAATCTTTCCTGTTCCTATCATACATTCCCATAAAAGTAGGGAACGAAAATATTATGGACTATGTGTGAACCTATTTTTTGTCAATGGCTTTGGCAGCCGTACAGAAGATGGCTTTTGTGCTACCATAAAATCATCCTATGACTCACCCAAGAATCAAAGATGAGGCTGTGTTAAGTCTTTAGACATCTGCTGAAGGAAGCTTTATGCATGTAGCTAGTGTTTATTTGGGGATTCAGCAAGAGAGGATCCTCACCGTGCACCTTGGGGAAGCTATGCTTTACAAACAAAAGTCACACTAGACCAAATGAAGCAACTCTTGGGTAAGATCCTGTAAAATATCAGAAGAGCAAGTTCAGTGGGAGAGCTGCGTATTTGTGGCAACAGCTTAGAAGTGTTGAGCACAGACAAGAGTTTTAGCTTAAGAACCTGAAATGACGCTACAGGGCGTGCAGGAGTTCTGGACTGATTTGACTTCTCTGTTCAAAAAATGGAGTAAAATCAGTAGCATTGAGGTTATTGTTGCCTGCGATTAATTTTAGAGATGAGATTTGAAAATCTTTTTTTAATGAAAGATTTGTTTTATCTTTAATTATGTGTATATGTGTGTATCTGTGTGGTTATGAATACATGAATGCAGGTGCCTGCCTGCTGAGGCCAGAAGAGGGCATTGGAGCCTCTGGAGCTGGAGCTATAAGCCTGTTGTGAGCTGCCTGATGTGGGTACTGGGAACTGAACTTGGGTCCTCTGGAAGACCAGGAAATGCTCTTAACCACTGAACCATCTCTGAGCCCCCAACTTTGAAATTCTTTAGTGGAGTTTTAGAACCTCAGATTTTAGAAGAGATTTTGCAAGCCTCTGCATCCCCCTAGCCCGTGTGCATTTGGGATTGGAGTAAAGGGTCTCTCACACATGCTAAGCAAGTTCCTATCAGCAAACTCAGTCCTCGTGCTTTATTCTTATACATTCCACAAAGGTGGGTTTCTAAGGCAAACACATACCACAGCCAGGCTGCTCTTCTGGTCACAGGCAGGCTTTGGATCTTTCCCTGTGTATAACAGTTGTGCTCCTAATAATAACATATGGGAAGCTCTCACACATAGCTTTACTGTAAGAAAAACATACCTAGCTGCACCACTGAAATAAAAGAGCATCTGTAAATATTGTTTTTATCACTGTTGGTAAGCGACTCACTCCTTATTGGTTCTCATTATGACCCAGATATCAGGAAATGTTGCTTTAAATTTTTTTTTTTAAAAAAACATCTTTCCAAGATATAAAAGTGAGGACCCAAAAGCTCAAAGAAAAGTTCAAGCTTCCTATTCCTGTTATAGTAGTCAAGGGTATTTAGTCCTCTGATGTTCAGATTTGAGTCATGTGACATCTACAATGTCAATTTTCTGAAACTCCTAAGAGGTGGAGAGATGCTGGGAATTCTAAAACAGAAGACACACTGGAAGATGAAACAAAAAAGCAAACAAAAAACAATAGGCATGCACAGCAGAGATTTAAATATAGTTTCATTATTTACAGAAAGAATATTCTAGTAGGCAGCAGTGTAAGGACATTAGTGTACTCTCAAGTTGGGCCTAAAATAGTTCATTTAAAATAGAAACAAAGCTTGGACTTCGTTTTCCTATGGAGTACTCTAATTAAAGCTCATCTTATTTCTTGTTTAGACACTTGTCTAAACAAATCTGTTAAGAGTGGAAATTCTAAGTGGGCAGGGATGTCTCTGCTTTTTTTAAGTTTCTGTGTCCTTCACAGGGAACATAGGAGATGCTTAGTAATGCTTGCTGACTGAGTGAGTAAGCAGTGGTCTTTCTAGCAGCTGTTTCCTCCTACGCAGTTTCCTCCTATGGGTTAATCTTCCATATTTCCCGTTCATGAACCTCTTAGTGCTGCAGAACATGTGGAATTAAGAGACAGATCAGTAATACGTTTTAGAAAATCAAACACATTGGTATTATCTTTCCTCCTAATCTTCTCTCCCTATATTGCTTTTTTTCATATGGAGGTGAATCACTGATTTGTTTCTATAGAAAACCCACTCATGCATGTCTGTACTTTTGCTAGTTCTGATTTTACTACTATTATTTCAACTTACCCAAGTATAGGATCTATAACACATCCTCCGTGAAACTCTTCATTAGTTCCAATAAGTTGTAATCTTTTTCACTTTTGAGCTGGCACTGAAACCACAGATATTTGTATTCTAGGTAGATAAGTCAGGTACTAGGGCACACTGCTGTGCCCCATAGCACTTAGCTTAGTGTCTTGCCCCATACTTTAGCTAAAACAGTTTGCTGGCCTGAACTAAGATAACCTGTAGATATGACACAGTTATAGGATACTGGCTGGGCTTACATGATTTAAAGAGACTGAGTTTGCGATGGTAAAAACTTGTACTTCTAATGAATTATTCTTTTGGTCTGAAAATTAGGAGGTTTTTAATTTTTTCTTCCGGTTTTGTGAAAAAGAAAATTACTTTGTGGAAAAGTCACGTTTTATACAACCATGTTACTTTGGCTGAAGCCCAATGATTCTATTCTACTTTATACCCAGTGATCTGAGCCTCAAACTTGTGAAAAACTTGAACCAAAAGAAATAACATTTAATAGAACTCTCTGAAGAAAATGCACATTAGAATTTCAAAACAGGGTGGCAGTTCTCGGTTTCCGGAGGTGAATGTGGATGATTTAAAATTTCATCAAGGTGAACATATTTGTTGTCAAGTGAAATGTGGGTTGAGAACTCTAGAGAACTCAGGAGAGCTGGCATTTTCTTGTTATGATCTCTTGCCCTAAATGTAGGCAAAATCTGACATGTATATTAGAGTTATAATTTGTGTCTTTGAGTACATTCAAATTCTAAAGTGGAGAATGGATAGGATGTGGTAAATGGAATAAAGAATTGTAAGAACTTGTGGATGAACCTCAGACCAGTCTCTCAGAAGTCTATGTGAGGTTATTTCTGTTCACTTCCCGGGTGAAGCAACTTGCCCCTCCTCCTTAACTGTCACTCATTCCCATCACTCACTAGTTTTGATTCTGTTCTCTATTGCCTTCTCTTGTCAGGTGGCGATGCTGATTTGTGCTGGCTTCCTGATTGCCTGGATTCCTTATGCAGTGGTCTCAGTGTGGTCAGCTTTTGGAAGGCCAGAATCCATCCCCATACAACTCTCCGTGGTGCCCACCCTCCTTGCAAAATCAGCAGCGATGTACAATCCAATCATCTACCAGGTCATTGATTATAAATTCACCTGTTGCCAGGCTGGTGGTTTGAGGTCAACAAAGAAGAAGTCTTTGGAAGACTTTAGGTAAAACTTGAGTAGTTAGAGATGATCCATATTTTCTTTGTCTTAACATCCTTTGCTAGTTGGAGCCACTTGGTTTGGAGTTCAGTTCCTAAGGAGCTGTGTCAGAATGGCTTTATTTTATGTTCAGCCAAATTCCTGAAACCACATCATCAAATACTTATGGCTTGGATGACAGGCAGATAGTGAGAAAAGCGGTTCTGTTTTTGATCCTACAGTAACTAGGATACCACACTGCTTGTATTGGAGCAATCATTATGTGTCAGTGGCTGTTAATTTCCTTTTGGGGAATCAAATCCATCTCATTGCAAGAGTACCCTTCCATGTGTCCTTGATCCAACAAAACATTCTTATGAGAGAATGATGTTGCTGCTATTATTGTTGGGGTATCAGAACTATTAGCTAAAAACATAGGGCTTAGGCAGGCAGATATGAGGGAGCAGGGAGACAGCTCTCCTTTCTCCCTCTTTGCAAGGCTCTTTATTTTATGTTTACAGAGCTTGAACTCATCCTTGTTAGATGAGGAAACGGGTTCAAGTAAGGTTAAGATTGGGGATGCTGCTCATATTTATAAAGCCAAAAGCAGCAGGCCAAAAACTTAAATTGAGGAATTTTAAACTTAAAATGCAGATACTGCTTCTACTATGCAGTGGAGGAGATGGCTTGGGAATCTAGCACCAGGTCAGGATTCAGAGAGAAAAAAGAACTGGGATGATGTGGGGTGGGCAGGGGGTCTTCTGTGTCTACACAGAACTCTTCTTCAGATAAAGTGGAACCGAATGCGTCTGAAGTCATCTGAGCTATGTGGTCAGACAAACTTCCAGCTGATTTGAGCCCCTTTAATGCTTACTCACTTGATGACAAGACACTGCTCAATATTTCTTCCTTTGAATAAATTAGGAGCATTGGAGAAAAAAAAATAGCTATAGGAAGACATGAGATTTATGACTTCTTCTGTCACTCCATTTGACCAAGTGAAAAATCTCTTAAACTTTGATTTCCTTACCCTGTGAGTACATGATCAAATGAAAAACATGATACAAATGTATAAGTTAAAAGTGGTATTGTTGGGCTGAAGAGATGCTCAGTGGTTCAAAACACTGGCTGTTCTTGCAGAAGACCCGGGTTCGAATCCCAGCACCCACATGGTAGCTAACAACTGTCCATACCTCCAGTTCCAGGGGATCCAGCAGCCTCTTCTGTCCTCCTCGGGCATTGCATGGCACTTACCTACATGCAGACAATACATGCATACACATAAAATAAAAATAATAAATAAAATATTAAAAAAGTGATATTGTCATTGTTGCTGTGACAAAAAGGGACAAAATCTACAATTGGGGGTTAGAAGACCAGCATATAAGACAGCAGTTTGCAATGGTCTGACTTTAGGGGGGTACACATTAATTGTTCAGAGCCTAGGGGTGGGATGAACTGATAACAGGAAGTTGTAATAACTAAGCAAAAGAATGCCTGAAAAAGATCTAGGTGACAATTTGGGGAGCTTTCATTTTGTTAGTGGTTGATGCCGTCTCTGTGAAAATGAATAGTTAAATTCAAATGCTACAATGCATCTTTTAAGGAAATAATGTCACTTTGCTCTCATCAGCTATTTATACTTTATTATGAATGCAGGTAGAGCGAATAATTTTAACAGAGCATTTTTTGGGAGAAAGTGATGGAACGCTTCTTTATTTAAAAATGAGAACCTGACAGGCAATGATTGGAACCAACGTTCACTGAGCTCATAATTTCGCCTCCGACTGGCTCTGCTTTTCACATCCAGTCACAAGTGTGAGCAGCACATAAATACTAAACATTCAGTAAGGGAAAGAGGGAGATTTATATGAAAGAAAGTGACTTAAGGCCACAAACCTTTGGAAAACTCAGCCAGATGAGAGACAGCTTGGATCGTTTGTTCCCGGTAACTATTTATATATGAAATACAGCAATTGCTTAGCTGAGGAAGGCCAGGCTGTTTCCCTCTCTGGAGTTCTGTCTTCCTGTGAGGAAACTGGCTATAGGGATGAAGGAGACCTTGGGTTCTCGAGCCTGAAGCATCGTTTTCTGGTTTTGAAGAGGTGGTTGAGCTACAGTTTTTAGAAGGCTCTGCTTCAGCAGAGAGCCAGAGGGTAGACAGTGGCCTCCAGAAATTTATTTTTTTATCTTTATAAATAAAAGGAATAAAATGAAATTTTGCTTATCTTTGTTGTTATTAAGAAGCTAAGCAAGCTAGATGCTATGGAGGCTCATAGGCTGAGATGAAATTATATGAGGGCAGTTCAGACTGGACTTGGACCACAAGGACCATTCAATAGAAGCAAACTCTCCCCCAGATGAGTTCCCTGAGGTTTTAGTGAAGGTGATGAACCAAAGGGAGTAACAAAAAACTAAAACCCCCAAACACAGCAAAGACTCCTTTTTGAGATGATACTATATTCCCCACTCCGGTGCAAGATGTAATCTTTTGTAAACTGTGGCTATTTAACCAAGATATCTGAGGAACTTTGAAAACCCCCACCCACAGAAATTGGCTTTTTGTTGGTATGGACTGAGCCCGAGTTTCAGTCATCTGGTTGTAATTCTTCCAGAAGATTCTCATCACAGCCATTGCTGGAGGCCAGTGAGGTAGAGGGTGAGAGAGGGAAACACTGGCAGTTGATATTCACAGTCCAAGTTCTTTGACTGGGTCACCACAGAGGCTGATGAGGTCACTTAAGGTCAATAAGTGGGGAAGGAGGCTTCAGATGCTTAGATGGAAAAGAAATGTCCCAAAGACCCAGTGGACTGTACTGTAAAGGATAGAGGATTTTATATCCTACTATTTTAGTAAAGACCAAGCCCAAGAGAGAACAGCACCCTAAACTCTGGGATGACATTACCATCAAGTCTCCCTGGCTGCCTTAGTTTGCAAAGCTGCCTTTCTAGGGCTCAGCTAGGTAAATAAACGTGCAATGAATTTTATTCTAAAGAACTTCTGTGACATAGGAAATGTGTTGCTCCAAAGCGGCCTGTTTTTTGGAAAGCTTTGTCCAAGGAAGTTCTCGAGTTTGAATATCCTAAATTATTATTTTCCTTTCTCTTTAAGGCAAGTGTTATGCACGTAGCCTTGATGGTAGTTAAGTTGCCATGATATGCATATTCCTGGATGTGGATTTGTGCCTATATTAATTTTCATATTCCTTCTGCCATGTGTAGGCTGCACACTGTAACCGCAGTCAGGAAGTCTTCTGCTGTGCTGGAAATCCATCAAGAGGTATGAAGATGGACAGCATCATTCACGGACACACGTATTCACTTATTTGCCTCTTCACTGTTGTTAACATTCAATTGCCTCACTCTTCTCTTTAAATTATATTTTTATATCTTGTACATTTTCCCTCTTTTCCCTCAAGCCAGGGTTTGCTGGGAAATTACAAACAGAAACCAGATCATAGCCTACTACTTCCTAGAGTATCATTAGGATGGAAATTCCTGATACTTCCTTTCCTTCCACTTAACCTATTCCATGCCAAACAATATTAAGTCTGAGACATTAAGAAAAATGTTTACAAGTTTTATTTATTAAGGTATTATTTTACAATATTACAGCATCACCACTACCACCACTACCATTACCACCACCATCATCATCATCTCTTGGTGTAGGGCCAGGGATGCTATTTCTGGTGTTCACTTAGGTGTGTTGATCATTGGGACTGTGTGGAGCCATGGCTCTTTGGTGGGGCTCTGGTCTTCTCCTTTTCATGTTGATAGAGGGATGCTCTCTGTGGAAGTGGTGCTGAGGAGTCCTCAAGGGATATCGGCTTTTTCTGATATCCCTAAGTGGAAACTTCTCCTGTATCTTTGAAGTTGAAGACAAAAATATTTCCCTTTGATGGTGATTTCCCTCAACTGGGTTCTTTTCATTAAGTTCCAGTTACTAATATAGTGGAAAGAACAGGGCACCACTAGCTGTCATTACCTAAGAAATGAATTTAGTGGAAATAGTTGTTTGTAAGGGCTGTTTCTTGGTTCTTTTCACTGTTGTTTGTTTTCTATAAACAAGCTGATTTGAAGGTTAAAGAGATGCAAGTCTGAAATGAGATGGAAGGATTTCAAAGACAGATATGTGTCCTTTAAAAGTTAACGAAGGGGGAAAGCATCTGAATACCGGGTCCATGTGAGCATGCACTTCTCAGTGTCTGAGCTTTTCTCTTGACCTGAGGAATAGGCCCAGACAGGTGTCCCCCAAATACCTCCACTCTGTCTGCTTCCACTTCTGCTTTGAACATAAGCCATGTTCATTAACTTCTTGTAACTTCTATTGAGAAAAGAAAGATAGGGATGGGAGTAGCCCCTACCCTTCCCTGGTGATCTCTCTGCTCTAGCACTCCAAGGTTTATAGAGAATCAGCCACTCTCTCAAGGCTCAGCTTTTGTGTATAATACCTCTGTTCCTGTGGGTTTGGCTTTCATGAGGGTTGGACTAGGGGATGAGGAAGGGGCTCATGTAGAATGTTAGCTTAAGATGAGTACTAAATAGGTGTAAGAAAACATGTTTGATGATAATGGAAAAAGTTAGCACCTCTGACTAGGGCTTAGGACTGCTTATCAAAGGACATGATTGCCATTGGAAAAGAGAGACGACGGGTGTGGTAGCACACGCCTTTAGTCCCAGCACTCCAGAGGCAGAGGCAGGAGGATGTCTGGGAGCTCAAGGGCAGTCTGGTCAACATAAGGAGTTCCAGGACAGTAGTGGCTACCAGGAGACCCTGTCTCAAAAAAAATCAGAAAAAAGAGGCAAGATATTTATAGGCAGATGTGTCAGTTAGAGAGATGTGAGACTGTGGGACCTAGATGGAGGGTTGGGGCACAGGCTTAGAGTCCAGAGTCAGACTGCTGGGTTTGTGCCCCAGCTCTGTGCCTTCGGCAAGTGTGTAAAGTGGGGAAAGGAAATCATAGGTCACAGGATGAGCAATAGGAGTAAATCATTTAGCACCCTGCCTGTCAGAGAGGAAGCAGTACCAGCTTGTTGACAGTTCTTCTTATTATTAAGGGGGTGAGGTTCAGTGGCAGGGGTGCCAATGGTAGGAAGTTATGGTGTTTGCAATGCTTAGAATATCAATCTGGTGATATCACAGAGGGTGGATTGCTTGAGTAAGGATACAGAGTCATGATTACAGGGTCTCAGACTAATTAGTTGGTGTTATAAACAAATTATAACTTATGAGATCCTGAATTGAGGAATAGCAATGGCAACAGAAATGAAACTATAACTTTAAAATGTTTTAAGAAGTAGGAGCTCTTGGCAATTGATTGTACGGTGGCAGAGAGTCGGGGTGATTTGGAGAAAGCTTCTTGGGAAGTAGTGTGGATAAAGAAAAACGTCTGATTTCAAAAGACCCGAAGGAAGGGAGATGAAGGATGGTTTTGCTTGTTTGTGTTCTGAGGGGATAATTTTAGAAGGGAGTGATGGAGAGTTGGAGAGAAGAGAGTATTCATGTTAGTGTAGATTTGCCTAGCAGTGAAATTTAACATTGACATTGTACAGAAGTCCCTAAAGGTAGAGTGTACCCTAGCATTTGCTAACTTTTTAACTAAACTGAAGACTTATAACACAATTTAAAAAGCATGTATGAAAAACATTAGCATAGTGAGGAGGGAAAATGAGTTTAAATGTTAGGAGCTTTGGGGAAAGATCTTAGAATTTATTTCTATTACCAGTTGAAATATATGATATAAATATCCTCTGTGCTTTGGTTCTATGTGTTTTTGTGATGCCCTGGGAACTGGAAGGAACCAGAATTATAACCGGTATTGATACAGAAAGAGAGAGTTGGTCCTTGGGGTAGAATGCAGGAGAAGGAGAACAGATGTCATTGAGGGTGGGCTGTAGACACCAGGCTGTCAGTGATTTCTTTCTTGAATGGGGATTGCTTACCCAGAGGCATCCAATGATTTGAGATAACAAACTTTGCAGTTATCAAACACCTCTTCAGTTTTCAATTTCAGCTGAATTTTACTAACAAAAAGATAGACTGAGTTGTGTGCTACTGTGTGTGTGTGTGTTTGTGTGTGTGTGTATGTGGATATGCACGTATGTTAACAAAGACTGAAATGTCTTTGAACAGACGGTACATGTCCTTTTTGTTATCACAACTGGCTCAGTGCTTGTCATGTGAAGGGCACTTGGAAATTATGATTGGAATCACATGAGTAGCTATCAGGTTATGATTTGGGAGAGCTCTGGGGGCTACTAAATGGAGATTATGAAATCCCAGATCTCTGGCCTAATCCTTATTTTATTTTTTTCCTGACAGCATTTTGCTAAGTAACCCAGACTAGCTTTGAACTCATGACCCTCCTGCTTCAGCCTTTCCAGTGCTGGAACTATTGGAGTGTGCTATGATGCCCAGCTAGTCCTTATATTTAAACTGCCTTGTTTCTGAGGACATGTATTTAAGCATGGCCTGCTCCATAAATAAATGAATGGATAAATGAATCCACGAAATGGGGTTTTGAGTGGAAATGGCCTATGAACTTGAAAAGCTGGATTAATTTCAAGAATCACAGTAAAAAAGTCCATAATTAATTTTTTTTTCTGAGTGAAGCAATTGGGATTTTACTACTGAGTAAAACTATTTTATTCTTAAAATGCAATTTTCTTAAGAATCAAACATTCTATTTTTTGCAACTGGGATGAATAAAGAATTTGTCCCACTTAATTTTTCCTTGAAAAGCCTCCCTTTGGATAGTTTATAGTGATGTGAACTACAAAATTCTGAAGAGAATTTGTTCTCCATTATGTTAGTGAAAAGGGGCGAAGTTGAAGGAGAGGAGCCTGAGGGACGAAGGATGTCAGCAAGTGCTGAGAAGTAGGATCTGGAAGAGATGGATGGGGCAGCACAGTGAGATGTCTTAAAGGTTGCCAAAATATCAGAGGACATTGAGGGAAGACATATATCATTATAGGAAAAGGCCAGTGAAGGCAGCAGCAGCCTTTGATTCAATAATTAATTTTGTTGTAAAGGAGCCAGGCCTCCCTGTCCAGAAGGTCAAAGTGATGGCTATTCTTCCTTTTTGACTTTTGATTATTGTGTTTTCATTATGCATATTACTGGAGTTCAGCGCTATATACACATGGGACTTGGAATAGATAGACATACATCACATAAACCCAACTGAGAGGAAGATCATTGCTGATCACACAAGTACTTCATTGGTTTTGTCTTGTTTTGGTCTCAATACTGGCCACCTTTACATAAGTAATTATGTATTCATTTACCTATGCATTCATTAATTAGTTGATTCATTACTTTGTTCAGTCCAGTCAGCAATTTTTACTAATGCAGGTTCTGAATGTTTTATGAAATATGTAAGGAGAGAACATATTTTTAATCTTTTAGTAATAGAGGGGGATGTTAAAAAAATTGGCAACCCTCTCTATATCTGTATATATGTTTATATCATCTATATCTTTGTGCCATCTAACAAATGATTATAATTGTAACAGATTTTAGACAGGGTCCTGTGGACACCATTAAAGTTTACTTGAGAAATTGAAGAGTATCAGGACAGGTCTTCAGAACTGACCTGCATGTGTACCCTGCTCAGTAGAAAAGTAGGAAACGTGAAATAGCTTCGAGGCTTTCTGAAGCAGAATCCATTCATTGCCAGGGGCAATGATCTATAATCTCTGGAAGTTTGGAGTTGTTTGTGTAAGGAAAAGTTTCATGAATTAGTTTTCTTCCCAAGGACACACCAAAATGAGGCTTACCAGGTGATCTGGGACCCTGCTTTTCCCTCCTAAAGAGACCTAGAGCATGGGAAACAGAGCTCAGATACTCAAAGCACAGTTCAGAATTACCTGGACCTGATATCAAACCCAGGATCTGCTACTATTAGATGCATGGGCACATTACCTTATCTCTCTGTTTCCTCAGCTGTCACAGTGAGGGACTAGAGACAGTCTTGCCTCATTATGATTTGTTTCAAATGATTCACATAAAGATTCATGTAAGATTCTTAGGAGCCTTCTTCCTCCTTGAAATCATAAAATAAATAGAAGTTATTATTGTCCTTATTAGAAGAACCATTTAATTATTCCATAGGAGTTGATAGTGGTGGTGTGAGCACTTCTAAATGTGGTAGAGAATGTTCTTCTACATGTCTAGATCTCATAGGTCATGGAGCTGTTCATGCTGTTTGAGACACAGCAAGATTCCGTGGGAACATCTTCCACAGAACATCACTAGTGTTAGATGTTGGGGCCTTG